GACTCGGAGGGCACACCATGAGTCAGCATCAGCTCAGCTGCGAGCATTGGGGCTCTTGCTGTTGCTGGGTGCTCGGAGCCCCGCTTTGTACAGCAGAATGGAGCGCCACTCGGCCCTGTGCCAACCTCACCATCGCTCTTATGTTCGAGCCCATCATGGGCAGCCACCATGTCCATCCATCTCGTCAAGGGTCAGATCGAAAGGCTGGGCTTTTGGGGTGGTACAGACGGCTAAGCGCTCTACCATGAGCCCCGAAGTTGGCTGTTCCAGTCCCCCAGAGGCACACTGGGAAACAGCAGCAGTCTGCTTCTGGAAGTTCAGGGCCCTGAAAGGCTGTGGGGCGGGTCTCCTGTACCCCGGGACCCCCCCACTCCTCCCCACCCCCCCACCCCCCGTCACCCAGAGTCGGAGCCAACTTGATGGCAGCTACGTACAACAGCAGAAGCAGCTTTATTCTGAAACTGTATGCAAATACAGCCTGATACATATGCATACATATGCATTCATACTGATACATATGCAAATAACAGCAGCAGCAGTTTTGTGCTGATTAACACATTTGCTTTTTAAAAATGTAGATCTCTATGAATCACGGATGTCCAAAGATGCCCAGGTTTCATTAAGAGGAAAAAAGACTGCAATCATGTGTAATAGTCCTTTTTTTTTTTCTTTTTTCCCAGAAATGTCAACGGTTACCATATACGTGACTGTGTGACAGGCAGAATTCTACTTCTGTAAATAGCAACGTTTACCAAGAGATGTTTGCTTGTGGCAGGATTTTCAAAGTGGGAAAATTATTCTGAGTCAGTGTGAATTATGGAAGTATTCTAGCTTTATATTTTAAATGTGTTAAAATCAGAAGTACTCCTAAGTGCCTTGTGACTGCTGGCAGGTCAGTTCCAACCCCCGGCGTTCCCGGTGTGCAACGTCACATGCTCCAGAGGGGGGTCTTTCAGAAGCGATCACCAGCCCTTTATCTCAAGGTGCCTGAGTTCAGACTGCCCATCTTTCCACTAGTCATTGAGTGCTCACACACTCTGTTGCTATACTTCTACAATTCAGCACTTTAATCACACTGAAAAGAGTTGTGCAATCATCACCACCATCAATTTTAGAAGATCATCTTTTGAGGTGTGTCTCTTGTGTGTGCTAAGCCAGTCTGCTAGTCTCTGTCTTTGAATGGATGTGTTCAGTCCATTGACATTCAGAGTTATTACATCCATCTGTGGACTCGCTCTGTGATGTCATCTTGGACCTTCTGTGTTGGGTGTTTACCTCCCTCCTTCTTATCAGTACATTGTGTGTGTGTGTGTGTATGTGTGTGTGTAGGGGGAGGTGGGGGAGGTTCATTCTTGCCGTCTTTGCGCCGTTGAGCTAATGTTATCTTGGGTGCTGTTTTCGATGTGTTGACTGCGGTGAAGTTGAAAATCGACTTTTGCCTTATACTCATGAGTTCCCTGTTTCTCCCAACTTTCCCTGCCATAACCCTGAGGAACTATTGATCCAGCTACTGCCTCTGTAGATTTACCTCTCCGGGATTTCATATACAGAAAACATACAGAACAAAAACCAAAAGCCCAACAGTAATACCACAGTGAAATAGAAAAACCTCAATAGAAAAAGTAGAAAATATTGAAAATTGAACAAATTAAAAATGGGCCAAAAGCGAGAGCAAATGATGGGGTGTTAGGTTTTAGCCTAGCTACATATATTTTAACCCACTTTCTACTACACTGTGTGATTGCATGTCTGTGTGATGCATCCCTGGTCAGTGGTCAGAGGGAGGTTTCATCCAAATGAAGACCCTTGCAAATGGATTTTAGGTTTTCACTGTAGCCTTCTGCAAACTGGCTGCTCCGAATTTAACCAAAAACACCGTTTCCTTCTTTGATCTCGGATTCTATTATTTATAATCCCTTGAGTCACACAGGTGGGTGTGCTTCTTCCATGTGTACGTAGCTCACACCTCATCTAGATGGCAGCTTGCTTTCAGCAAACCTTTGGAGAAAGATGGAGCTCGCTACTTCACATGAGTGACAGTCGACACCCACGGGGGCAGTCCACCCTGCCCGGTCGTCGCTAGGAGTTGGCAGCAACTTGATGGGATGAGCTTGGTTTTGTGGTTTTGAAGACTCCAAAGGCTAATTCTTTCTGATATCCAGGCACCATCTCATTTCTTGCTTCCTTCCTCCCTTGTGTTTTGGTGGGGGGAGGGGTTTAAGGGGCCTAGTTTAACATATACATAGTAAAATTTTATTTTTTAATTAAAAAAAACCATTTTACTGGCACATAATCCACATAGCATGCAACTCAGTAGTTCAGTCATATCATGAAGTGTTGTACAGTAAGGACCACATCAATTTTAAAACATGTTCTCCCTTGTACTCACTGTTAGTAGCTCCCCATTTTCCTGCCCCACAACCTCTCCAGCCATACCCCCAAGAAACCATTGATTGCACTTTGCTATAGGAACCATATCTTCAGTGATCTTCATGAGGACGGGTGTCAAGTGAGCCACGTCATAAGAAGGAATTGTTCTCAGATCAGGACTACAATCAGCCCTTAACCATTCGTGACACCTAGGGCTTCCGCTATAAATCTAAACTAAAAAAAAAAAGCCTAGCTCATAGCTGTCAATTCGATTCCAATGCACAGTGTCGCTATCAGAACTGCTCCTCGGGATTTCTGAGACTGCACATCTTCATGGGAACAGACAACCTCATCTTTTCTCCCAGGTAGCAGCCGGTGGGTTTGAACACCTGACCTTGAGGTGATTTAGCAGCCCCATGCCCGACCCAGTAAGCCACCAGGTCTCTTAGTATCTAAGGAGAATAACACATAATGGTTTGACGAGCTAGTCCGCTGTTCTAAGTTGATTAAACACTTGCTTTGGGCAATGGTTCTTTGCCAAGTAACTGTAAATATTTTCTCTGAAAAAAATGTACTAGCTGGTAAAATTCCTTGTCAAGGGTGTGAGCAAACATGCTGAAAAGGTGCATAGCAGTGTGATGAAAGGTTTTCCATGTGGTCAGTCACAGGGATTTTCCGGAATCATGCGCTGTGGGGGAAGTTAATTCCCAGTGGATCCCGGGACGTTGGGTCATTGTTGACATGCCCCGCCCTTGGAGGCCCTGCAGCATTTTCGTGCTCAGATGTCATCTAGGGATGAATCTCTGTTCACAGTGGGGGGTCGCCAGGCCTCCTTAGTCAAATCAGGAATGAAGCATCTTCCAGAAGCCCCGTATCTAACTCCATCTCACACTCATCTTTCCTTTCAAGTGGTTGGCTTCCTGGAAACCAGGGCCCCTGGCCTGCCTTGGTGTCACATGCTCTGTGGTGTTAAGGTGATGCGGTTGTCCCCAGCTGAGAACCAGAGTGATTCGAAAACATAAAAGCAGGCGACTGTGGCAGGGGCGGGGACCACGGTGGGGGGGGGGCGGGCTGCCTGGTTCCCCCTGGTTCCTGGGTATTTGGTGCTGATCCCTGCTGGCTCGGGCTCAGGGAATGTACATGGAGGGTCACCGAGGCACTGTGCTTGAAGAATTTCTATGGAGCCTTCCTTCAGTGCCGCTGGGGTTTCTCTCCGAGTTTCATAGTCGAGAAAAGCCAAAGCAGGAGAAGTCACTCGCCCACAGGCAGTCACACAGCCAGGGGAGTGGTGGTGGCAAGTTTCCTATGAATTCTGAGGAGCCCAGGTGGCATAGTGGTTACACCGGGGCTGCTCATTGCATGGTTAGCCGTTCGAAACCATCAGGTGCTCCTTGGGAGAAAGATGAGATTTCTAGTCCTGTAAAAATGTGGTCGTAGAACCTACAGGTCTGCTCTGTCCTAGAGGGTCCCTGGCAGTGAGAAACCACTCAGTGATCAAGGATGCTCTTTAGGGGACACGGGTGGTTCAGTGTGACTCTTTCACGTAGCCAGCGAAGGCCTGAACTGGTTCCAGTGGAACTTCCAGACCAGGGAAGATTAGGAAGCTCTGACGAGATACTTCCCAAGGCAGCCAGTGAAAATCCGGTTGGCAACAGTACCACCAACTCCTCTGGAATTTTGTGCAACAAAAATGTTCCCAGGTAGGCCCCCCCTAATAAATGCTATGCCTCACGTGCATGTGCAGATTGGACATTGAATAAGGAGGGCCGAAGAACACTCGGTGCGTTTCAGTTATGATGCTGGTGAAGAGTATGAAAAGTACCCCGGACTGCGAAAGGAACACGCGGATCTCTTGGACGAAGACACACAGCCATGGCGCTCCTTCGAGGCAAAGAGGATGAGGCTTTGTGCCACGTACTTCGGACATGCTGTCAGCAGAGACCAGTCCCCGGGGAAGGACATCCTGCTTGGTCAAGTAGCAGGGCAGCAGAAAAAGCAGAAGACCTTCAACAAGATGGGTGGACACAGTGCCTGGTCTGCGGAGCCAAACGTAAGAACAGCTGTGAGGGTGGCACCGGACCGGGGCCGTGTTTCCTTCCGTTGTACGTAGGGTTGCTATGAGACGGTGGCACCTGCCAACAACAGTCATAGGATGTATCACCTAGGGGAAGTGTGCCGCACAAGACCTCTTTAAAGTGTTGGCGAGCAAAGGTGCCCCTCTGAGGACTAAAGAGGAGTTCTGAAAGATGGACATCGTGCTTGACAAAGCAGAGGGGCAGTGAGAGAGAGGAAGACCCCGGGCAAGATGGATTGGCCCGTGGCTGCAACAATGGGCTCAAATGTAACAATCGCGAGGATGCCGCAAGACAGTTTGTTCTGTCCTGCGGGAGGGTCACTAGAGTCAGAGCCAATGCCAATTCCAATGCCTGGGCACCTCGCAATGGTCAGAACCATTCTAGGGCTGAATATTACTTATTTTCAGATTAGAACACTAGGATGCCTTTGAACTATTTATGTAAATCATTGAGAGCGGCACTTTGTAGATAAGTCTTCCAGTGTATCTTTGTTTGAAACAAATAAGACAATGCAGTTCTAAGGTGAGTTAAAAAAATAATTTTTTTTTTCCCTCTACAGGAAATGACAAAGCTCCCTCCTGGACACTGGTCACAAGCCATGCCTTCGATGCCGCATGGAGGCTGGCGGTGGGGGCCTTGATGCTGGCCACCTCCCTCCTGCTGGCTGCCCTCTGCCGCTTCCAAAGACTATACCTACACTTCAGGCACCGGCTGAAATGGTGGGTCCCGGGGTCCTCCTCCGATTCCAGAAGCACCCCGGCCATTCACGACAGAGGTTTGATACTCTTACTCCCTTGGTCTTTCAGGTGGATGGGATATCTGCAGAGAAAGTTCAAAAGTAAGTACTCCCCCGTGTGGGTTTCCCAAGAGTTAAGATGGGAGGCTGGGGGAAGATCAGGAGCTAAGAACGCAGAGTCCAAGAATGGAGAAAGTGTCCTAAACCTGGTGGTAGTGGGGGTGGCTGAACTGTCGAATTGCGTGATCTGTGAATGACATGCCGTTAAAAAAGAAAGAAAAAGAACCGATGTGGAGTGGACTCAGGAGGAAGGGGAGCGAGAGAATCCAGTGCCTCGGATGTTTGTCTTTGGTACAGAGAACCTCAGCGTGGGGGCCGAAGTTGATGTGCTCAGCTACTGTGCGCGAGAGTGGAGGGGAGAGACGCCCGATGTCAAGCTCCTCAGGAAGGTGTGTTTGTACGCAGGCTACGGACGCACGGTGACCTTTTCCATCAAAATCAGGGGAAAGACCTACACATCCCAGGCCTTACTGAATTCACAGATCTACCAATAGCACATCTGATACAAACGTATCAACGTGGCTCTGATTCAGAAACCTAAGTGAGACATGGTGTCTAGCCATGTGCCCAGAGCTGGCCCCTTGGCGCTGGTGGCCTAATGGTGCTGTTGGGTCAGTTCCAATCCTGGCACCATAGCCCGAAACACTGCCCAGCCCTGCGCCGTCCTCACAATCGCTATGACGTTAGAGCCCATTGTTGCAGCCACTGCATCTGTCCATCTCATTGAGAATCTTCCTGGTGACCCTCTACCAAGCGTGACGTCCTTACAGGATGAGGTAGAGCAGGTCTGCCATTGGGGAGACAGGGACAGTCCGGCTCTTCCCAGCCTCTGCGGGCGGGCCCGGCGGCACCTCCGCACACACACCAGAGACTGTTGGAAGGGCCAGGCACCTGCTGTAAAATATTTTGAAGACTCTTTCCATCTTTTCTGCCGGCCCGGACAGTGCTGGTGAGCTCTGTCCTAGCAGAGGCACAAAAGAAAGGGGCGCCCTTGAAGGACCTCGTGGTCGCATGGCCGTCAGTGTACACGGCATTTTCCACTGTGGACAGGTCCTACCCGGGGTCTCCCCAGAGCAATTCCCCGGGGCTCTGGGCTTCCAGGTGCCCATTGTCTGAAAGACCACTACCTGGGACAGCATGTGCGGGTGTCTTTACAAGACAACTTGCACTTTGAAGTTGTCACTGGATTTTGTCTGTGTGGGAGTAGCACCCCACTGTAGACCCCGTAGCCTCAGTTCTCGGGGCCCCTGCCGTTGCTTAGCGGGTGCTTGCTTTCCTGCTGGCTGACAGGCGTACGAGGAGCTGGCTGGGAGGCTTCGCGTTCAGTGCGTCCGGCCGGTGAAGAGAGATCACTACGCGGCCCTCCGAGCGGTGTTATTCCAGATCTTCAGCCAGGGCCTCCCGCTCCCGGCCTGGATGAAAGAGAAGGACGTTGTGAAGGTAAGGCCCTCTCGCCAGGCGCACAGGCCTGCCACCCGAAGTTCGCCGTCCCCTGTGGGCTGCCTTATCCCAGCAAAGTGAGGCGCGCAGGGCTCGGGCACGAGCAGAGAGGTCATTTCACCCAGTCCCTTCCCATCTCAGTTTGCAAATACACCATCTCAGGAAGATGTCTTTCTTTATTATGCGTTTCAATGCCCCTGTCTTTTCTCAAGAAGGGCATCCATCCCTTCTTCATAAGTAAGGCCAGCCAGCAACACTCATTCTTTCCCTTTATAGAAGTACATGAATTTTGACTAACACAAACCAAAACACACGCGCGCACACACACACACCCCTGCGGGGGAATAAAAACAACCCCATTGGCATAAAATGGATTCCAACTCGCAAGGAACTGAAGGACAGTATGGAACTGCCCTGTGGGGATCTGAGGCTGTAAATCTTTATGGGAGCAGAAAGCCTCGGTTTTTCCCCTCCGGAGAAGCGGGAGGGTTTGAACTACCAACCTTGTGGTTAGCAGCCCAGCGCATAATCCAGTACACCACCAGGGCTCATAGCAACCTCATATTGGGTTTCTGTGGCTGTAAATCTTTGCAAATAGTTTCATCTCTCTCTCTCTCTCAAAGCGGCGGAGGGCTCTGAATGGACAACCGTATGGTAGTGCGCCAGTGCTCACCAGATGGAAGTCCACGGGAAAATCCCATGATCGCTTCATTCCCTTTCCACAAACTTTCTGAATCCCCCCCTCCCCCACCGTCGTATAGCTGTGACTTCTCAGGGACTCCCTCAGATCCCTGCTCCGTCCCCAGCCTCTGGAGACCGCTGACTCCAGGTGACCCTGTACACAACGAAGGAAGCACCACCATGGTGGCCCTGCAGCGGTCTCACCATTGTTCTTGAGTCTCAGCCCATGGTTGCAGCGCGGGGTGACCCCATCTTGTCGAGGGCCTTCCTCTCATCCGCTGCCCCCCTTCTTTCCCAAGCATGAGGTCCTGGTCCAGGGACTGGTCTCTCCTGACAGCAGGCCTTGCCCCTGAAGAGCTGCGCAGTACTTCCTCCAAGGCGGAGCCTTAGGCTCTTTTCACCCATGATACTTTGTGAATGTGTAGTTTATTCCTTTTTATTGTTGATTGGTTATTCTTTACACGGATAGCGAGAGCGTATCTATCCATCGGATATCTATCCATCGTATCTATCCACCTTGTGGCGGTTACTACAAGGTCAGTAGTTCGAAACCACCAGACGCTCCGTGAGAGAAAGACCAGACTTTCTACTGTAAAGAGTGTCGGAAACCCACAGGGGCGGTTCATCCTATAAGGTCGCGATGAGTTGGGATTGAATGGACGGCACTGAGTTTGGTTGGGGTTTGGGCCTCGCTCTGGCTGTCATCTGCATTTCCCTAACGAGCGGTGACGGGAGCACCTCTTCATGTGCGTCTGTGGCAGCCACATCGTCGTCTCGGGGATGATCTGATAAAGACGCCCATTTTTAACCTCGGCTGTTTTCCCGTGATTGGTTGCCTTTGGGGAGTTTCTGTGTACTCTGAATACAGAGTTTTGTCTGTATGCGACGTGCACATGTTCGCTCCAGGGCTGTTACTTGTGTTTTCAGTGTCTTACTCATGTAAAGACCAAGCCACCACCACCAGCAAACCAATCTCCACTGCCTTGGTTTCAACTCAGGCTGAGCCTGTGTGGGTTTCCCAGGCTGTCGATTTGTATGGAGCAGACGTCCTCATCTTTCTCCCCAGGACCAACCGACCGATGGGTCTGAACCCCTGACCTTTCGGTTAGCAACACCTAACCCACCCACCGCATCATCTGAGTTTTCACGTTGAAATGCAGTGCATGAATCTAGAGTGTCCCTTTAAGGAGGGAGGAGCCAGGAAGTGCAGAGTGTGGGCGCCTGCGCAGCTGTCTGGCCGTCTCTGCCTTAGAGCCGTTTTCATTCCTCCCGTTTCCTGCCGCAAGTATCTGTCCAGTGCGTGCAGTGCTGGTCTGAGGGCTGAGGATAAAGACCATAACACCGTTTATGATCGAGACTCTAAGTGTAGATAAGAAGCCCTGTTGGCATAGCAGTTACCCATTGGGCTGAGATCCACAACGTCAGCATTTCAAAGCCACCAGCCAGCTTTGCGGGAGAAAGACCAGGCTTTCTGCCTGGGGAAAGAGTGAGGGTCTTGGAAGCTCGTGGAGCAGTTCTGCCCTGCCCTGTAGGGTCTCTGAATCAGAATCACTCCAGGGCAGTGAGGGTTCTTTTTTTTTATGAGTTCTGGTGGCCCCCTTGGGTAAGCATCCAACAGCTGAGCGCGAGGTTGGTGGTTCAAGCCACTGGCGCCGAGGGAGGCAGACGAGACTGTCGACAGCCCAGTCACCCTAAATAGCAGCGCTTCAAAAAGTGGGCACTGCCACTCCCTGTGGGGTGCTGGACTAATTTGCTTTGAAATCAACTCAGTGGCAGTTGGTTTGGGTTTTGTTTCCGGTCTTAGTTTTGGTTTGATTTGGTCTGGACACTTCAGACCGTGAAAACACAAGCTGGGGGCGCTGAGAAAACAAGTGTAAGTTGTATATCGCTAGGACACTTGAATTCAGGAGAGGTAAGGACTCTCAACATGCAATACCACCCCCTGGGGGTGGGCTGCAAAGACAGATTTTATCCCGCTTCATCCTGGATTGTGGGCTATTGTACAAAAGTTTTTCATTGGCGCCGGGGGTCGGTGGGAGGGGAGAATAATTTTCCCCCTGAAAATTAGTTTGGGAACCTATACTGTAAAGGGCTGCTCTGAGTTGGAATCCAGCACTCAACTGCTTTCTTGTACTGTAGCGGCTTGTGTGTTGCTGTGATGCTGGAAGCTGTGTCACTGGTATTTTAGATGCCAGCAGGGTCGCCACGCATGAGCAGGTCTCACCAGAGCTTCCAGTTTAAGAGACAAGGACTTATCTCCCCACTTTCGAGTAAGAAACCACTAAAAACCTTATGCATAGCGTGAGAGGATTGCCTGGTACTGAAAGCCTGAACAAAGGAAGCAGAACGTTGTCAGAGATAGTGCCGGCAGATGGGCCCCTCAAGTCCAAGGGCACTCGAAACGTGACTGAAGAGGAGATGATTTCTCAGAGGGGAGTTGACTATGGTGACATGAGTTGGGTAAAGCCTGTGGGGGTGGAACCTTCTGGATCTTCATTTGCTGATGGGGCCTGACTCAGGGTAAAGAGAAACAGCAGCAAAAAAATGTTCTAATGATGTGAACTTGGGATGTGCAAAGTATGAATTTAGGGATTTTGGAAGTGGTCAGAAATGAAATGGAATTCACAAAAATAGATATCCTGGGTGTTGGTGAGCTCCAATGGACTGGTATTGATAATTTTGAGTCAGAAAATCGTATGACTTCCTGTGCTGAGAATAACACAATCAAGAGGAATGGAGTGGCATTTATTTTCAAACAGGATCTTACTAAATCCATCTTGAAGTACAATGCTATCTATGATCAGATTGTATCTATCTGCCTTCAAGGAAATCCAATCAATGCAACTATTGTTCAACTTTATGCCCCAATCACAAAAGCTAGTGATGAAGAAGTTGAAGAATTCTACCAGTGACTTCAATCAGAAATTGGTAAAACATGCAATCAAGATGCATTGATAATTTTTGGTGATTGGAATGCAAAAGGTGGAAATAAAGAGGAACAGTAGTTGGGGAAAATGGACTTGGTGATAGAAATGAAGCTGGGAATGATGAAACACAATGTTCCTCTAGTTCTTAAATGTTTCTCCCCCCACTATCATGATCCCAATTCTACCTTACAAATCTTGCTAGACCAGAGGATGTGCACTGGTACAGATAGGAACTGGAGACACAGGGAATCTGGGACAGATGATCCCTTCAGGGCTAGTGCTGAGAGTGGTGATACCTGCAGGGTGGAGGGAAGGTGGGGTAGAAATGGGGAACTGATTACAAGGATCTACATAAAACCTCCTCCCTGGAGCATGGACAACAGAAAAAGTGGGTGAAGGGAGATGTCAGACAGTATAAGATATGACAAAATAATAATAATTTATAAATTATCAAGGGTTCATGAGGGAGAAGGCAAAGGGGAGCAGGGAAGGAAGGGGAAAATGAGCTGATGTCAAGGACTCAAGTAGAAAGCAAAAGTTTTGAGAACGATGAGGGCAACAAATGTACAAATGTGCTTGACACGATGGATGTATAGATTGTGATAAGAGTTGTATGAGCCCCCAATAAAATGCTTTTTAAAAAATGAAGCTGAAGATCACATGATAGAATTTTGCAAGACCAACTACTTGTTCATAGCAAATACCATTTTTCATCAAAACAAGGATACTATGCACATAGACATCCCCAGTTGGAGCACACAGAATTCAAGTTGAATACATCTGTGGGAAGACACAATGGAGAAGCTCAATATCAGCAGCTAAAACTAGACCAGGGGTCTACTGTGGAGCAGAACATCAATTGCTCATATGCAAGTTCAGGATAAAGCTGAAGGAAATGAAAACAGGCCATGAGAGTGAAAATATGACCATGAATATTTCCCACCTGAATTTTGAAAACATCTGAGGAACAGATTTAATGCATTAAACACTAATGATAGGCTACATGATGACCTGTGGGAGGACATTCAGAACCTCATTCCTGAAGGAAGCAAAAGGTAGTTAAAAAGACGGGAAAGAAAGGAAAGACCACAGGGATGTCAGAAGAGACTGAAATCTGCTCTTAAGGGTAGAATAGCTAAGGCAACTCAGTGTGAAGATGAAGTGCAAGAGCTGAAGAGAAAATTTCAAAGAGACGCTCAAGAAGACAAAGACAAATATTATAACAAAATGTGCAAAGACTTAGAACTAGAAAACTAAAAGGGAAGAACATCCTCAGCCTATCTAAAACCGAAAGAAAGCCTCAAGAAAAAAGTTCAAGCCAAGAGTTATAATCTTCAAAATTTCAATGAGCAAAACATCGAATGATGTAGGAAGCACCAAGAGAAGGTGGAT